CCTCTCCACCCAGCGCTCCCCTATAGAGCATCTTGGGAACAGGATTCCCGTCACCTGGATCTAGGCTTCTCATCACCCTGTCACAGTTCCTCGGAAGTTCCTTGAAGAGAAAAGGGACTGGGCTGCAGGAGAGGACAAGTTAGGGTCCTGCAGATGAGGTATGGCTGATGCCAGCCAGCTTGGAAGGGACCACAGTGCACAATGGCATCAGCAGCGTTAAAGAGCTTTATCATAGCTCCATCCGTAGCATCTTCCAGGTGGAGATGCCAAGCCGACTGTGAGGAGTGGGCTGAGGGAGCCAAGGACCTGGACATATTGACTCTTTAGAGGAGATTCAAAGCCAAAGCTACTCAGGTTTCCGGTCCAGAACGTGAGAAGATGCCACACCCCCCACACTGGTGGGTCTCACCTATGTTCAGCAGGAGCTTGCTGGTCTCCACCATGCCAACTCCACCGTGGGCTGGATGGTGGGGGCGTGGTTCAAAGGCAGGGAAGGGTGAGGTGGACACTTCAGTGGAGAAAGCGAGGAAGGGGAAAAAGGGAATGAGAAGGCAGAGAAGGAAGAAAGGAAGGAGAAAGGGAAGAAAATGGGAGGACAGATGGGTGGAAGGATGAGAAGGCAGGCAGGAGAAGGGAGGGGTGGAGCGGCAGAGCAGAGAGCAGAGAAAGACACAGGTGGTCTGTAAAGAGCCTCCTAGCAGAGCCCCCCGGTTGCCAGGCCCCTGTGTTTACTTGTTCATGTCTCGGCTCCTTGGTGAGATGACATTCTGGCTCTCCTCCTTGAATTCACTGACTTCCTCTCTGCTTCCTGGGCTCAGGCCTGGCCAGTTGGGATGGGCGCCCAGTGCCGCAGGCCTAGTTGCCCTGGCAACACCCTGTGTTAGACATCAGCATCTGCAAATGTGGAAATGTTTCCAGCAGGTCAGACTTGCTCCCTCCCTTTCTTCCCCTTCTCCTTTTTCAATCCCAGTTGCCGCAGACCAAGTTGCAAACTTCCTCTGTCTCCATGGGGATGGACGAGGCTGCCTCTCTTTTTCCGTCCCAAACATCTGTCTCTATAAACAGTTGTGCAGAGGCACTCTGCCTCTGGGCCGGACTCCGGAGAGGAAGTCCTTTGTTTATCTGGAGAGGGTCTGCCTCCTCCCTTCTTTCTGGGCTGGGCCACTGCCTTGGGTGGCTACAGCCTTGGACTTGGGGGAGCTGGGGAGTTTGAGGAGTGTGGGCAGCCCCCCTGGGAGGCACCTCTGTGTGGGAGGAACAGCCTCTGTACCATCTTCTGATAGACCTCAGCTCTGCTTGACTCACTGGGCTGCTTTGGGTAGCTTTCTTAACCTTTCAATTCTTCCTCTGTAAAGTGGGCATTCTGGCCGCATCGCCCTCTCGGTTTTGTGAAGGGGTTAAATGAGTGTCAGGAGCAGTAGAAGCGCTCTGATCAGCTTGTCCTTGTGTTGTTGTTAGGTCCTGTTGCCTGGGATTCAGAGTGACTCTGAGAATCACAGAATCCAGCCCTGCCCGTCCAGCGCCGTCCTCACCACCTCTGCTCGTACTCATCACCCTCACATGTCCATCTATCTTCCTGAGTTGCTTCCTCTTTTTCACCGATCCTCCACTTTCTCAAGGACGCTGTCCTTCTCCGGGACTTGTCCTTCCTGATAACATGCCCCAGCTATGAGTAAAGCCCTGTTGTTACAGGCCTTGTCATGAACTGAACTATATTTCCCAAAATTCTGTGTCAGCTTGGCTGGGTCAGGATCCGTGGTGGTTTGGCAGTTATGCGGTGATGTCATTTGGCAGTTATGCAATGACGTAATCATCCCTCAAGATTTGATTAGCCAATCAGTTGTAAGTGGATGAGGGTGGGTGCAGTACCCCCAGGTCACAGCCCTGGGCAGATGGAAGGAGAGGGAATGAGCTCCTGGGGTGCTTCCTGTATCACCTTTTACCTAACAAGAGATGAAAGAGAGGGGAGCACACAGGGAAGGAGGGACCTCAGTATCACTAAGAAAAAGAGCCTGGAGCAGAGGCATCCTTTGGACCAGGTCCCTGCCCAAGAACCTCCTAGACCCACGGGGAGATGGACAGATGCCAAGCCACATGGAGATCTCGCCAAGCCCACAGATGCTGAAAGGAGACAAGGACCATCCCTAGAGCGGACACAGAGGGAAAGCTACCCCCTGAACTTGGACTCCTAGCCTCCTAAACTGTGACAGAATAAACTTCTGTTTAACTGATGTTCAGGCCATCTGTGGACATTTTTTCTGTTCCAGTGGCACCAGAGGTCTAAGACAGAATCCATCTGAGAGAAAGGCCAGAGTCTGGGAGACGAGTTGCTGAGAGCGGCGTGCCCACCGCTCAGTGCTGCAGGGCTGCACCCTGACAGCCCACAGACACCCACCAGGATGCCCATCTGAGCCCTGTCCTCAGCTGGCAGGCGGCAACTTTGCATTAGGGATCTCCTTTCCTGTTTGAGACTTTTGTTTATTTTACGGATGAGGGTGGGGCGTGTTGAAATGCTTGTGGGGTTTCGCCGAGAACCAGGGACGGGAATTTGTGGTGCATGGCCAGGACACAGCGACAGGGACTCCGGTGACTCAGACCCACTTTCTGTGGTGAGAATGAGATGTGGATCCCAAGAGACCTCAGGCTTGGCTGGGTCCCAGGTCTGGCTCAGTCACCTCCCAGAGCCTCTCCTGCACCAGCCTGCCTGCTCACCAATGTCCCTGCCATGGGCCTCCTGGCACTCAACTTCCAAGTCCAGAGCCCTTTCCTGTGCCAGGAACCCCCTATGTGGTGCAAAGAATTCGTTCACAAGACACAAATTCATCCCATGATTCAGCTGTCAGCGAAACTATAGACAGTCCCACAAAGGGATCAGTTACACCAGAGAGGCACGTACTTTCTAGAACAGCTAACAATAGGAGATCAAAGGTCAGCATTTGTACAAGTATAAAGGTTAAAAGGCAGGAAAATAAAGGAAAGAAGGAAGAATAGAAAGGAGAATACCAGGGAGGGAGAAGGTAGAGTGAGCTTCCAGCATGAGAATTGCACTCGACATCATGGAACAAAATGTGTGCAAATTCTCGAATCCAAAGCCAATTTACTCAGCAAACATTCACCCAAGTCACAGTGAAAAAAGGAAAAAAAGACATATTCAAAGACATTTTTGTTGTTATGTGTCATCAAATTGCTTGCAGTTCATCACACCCCTATGTAGAATAGCCCTCAACCCTGCTCTATCCTGTGCCAACTTTATTGTCTCTGACACACCCACCCCCATTAGGCCAGACACTGAGTCAGTCCATCTCATCAAGGGTCTTCATCTCCTGCACTGTTCCCCCACCTTGCCAAGCATGATGTCCCTCTCCAAGGGACATGATGTCCTGCCTTGCAACATGCCCAAAGTATGTCGGATGAAGCCTCAGAATCCTTGCCTCCAAGGAGAAGCCTGGTTTCACCCTCTCCAGGACAAAACTATTTGTTCACCTGGCAGTCTATGGTATATTCAACACTGTTCTCCAGCACCACAGCTCAAAGACATCAATTCTCCTCCTATCATCCTTAGCCATTGTCCAGCTTTCTGATGCATAGTAAGCAATTAGGAAGACTATGGCCTAAGTGAGGCTCATCTTAGTGTTTAGACTGACATCATTGCTCTTCAGTACTCTGGAGAGGTCTCTGACAGCTGTCTTTCCCAATGCAGTTCGTCTTTTGATTTCCTGGCTGCTGGTACCAAAAGTGTTGATTGTGGAGCCAGGTAAACTAAAGGTGTTAACAATCTCAATCTCTTCACCGTCTATCATGATGCTGCCAGTTGGCCCAGTGGTGAGTGGGAAAACCCCCCCAAGATGGCCACAAATCATTACAAACCAAGCTCAGGGTCCCCTCTGAGCGTGAGTCCCAGGTGACCACTCAGGTTACATGTACCCCATGGAGCTGGCCCTGCCCTTGAGCATCCAATGAGATTTCTTGCTCTGCTTCCTGATGTCCTCTGAGAGGAACTGACCACTGAATTTTAAGGTTGCATAGTGGAATGTACTTGAGGCAGTGGGAGGGGTGCGGGGGGGGATTGTGTACCAAGGAAGGAGTGTTTCTTTACTTTTGAAAGAGAGGAGTGAACTGGGGGGCAGGGGGAGAGGGCTGGGCGGGGAGAGAAGTGCAGCAATGAATGTATGGAAATCTAAAATCTCTGTAAATGCTCATTAAAATTATTTTTTTTTTAAATGTCAAACCAGTTACTGTCAAGTTGATCCCACTTGTAGTTGACTGCACATGTTGTAAAGTAAAACTGTGCTTCACAGCGAAGAGAAAAAAAAGTTCACCCTGACATTGTTGGCACCTCAGAGTCATGGTGCTGGTAATAACCGCGCCAGCGCCGCGGATTCAGTCAAAATCGAACCCAGTCCCTGCCATCTAGTTGATTCCGGCTCCTAGGCCTCCTGGGACAGAGCAGAGCGGCTCTAGGATTTCCGAGGCTGTAATCTTTACAGACGAGAGCTCTGGCGGCCTGCTGCTAAGAAGCCGTGCTCCAACCTGGAGCAGGATGGGCTGTCTCCTCCCACAGGACCGACTGCCTCTGAGAGCAGCCAGCGGTGAGTCAGCTCCGACTTGAAGGCACGTGACACGACGTAAACCTTTCCAGCCTCAGACTCCCTCATCTTCCTCCCTCAGAGCTGCTGGTCAGTGTGGGCCACTGACCCTTCCGGTAGCATCTGCCCGCTTTAACCACAGTGCCACCCAGGCTCAGTAGCGGTGGGAGAACACCAGTCAGGAAGGAAGCCCTCATGAGATTGGCTGCAGACCACGGTGGTCAGGTGACCGATCTGAGCTGGACACAGACTCAGACAAGACCCAGAGACCTGACCACCAAACTGAGGCCATTGCCTCCAGTGGGTCGCGGACACCTGGTCCGTCCAGCAAGTCCTGGTCCATCCAATGGATTCCGGACACCCAGGCCATCCGATGGGTCCTGGCCTGGGACACCTGGTCTATCGGATCCTTACCCAGGATACCCAGGGTCAGCTTCCTGACGCTGTAACTCTTTGTGCAAGGAGACAGCCTCACTGTCCTTCTTCCATGGCTGTGGATTTGAACCGGCAACCTTTCGGTTAGCCCGACATGTAGCACACCCAGGGCTCTGCAGGACTTCTGAAGTGTGCATGGAAAGCCTCTGTGGCTGACGTGGCCTGTGACTCTGATGCCCTTGTCCTCGAGAACAAGGCTGTGGAGGCATCGTGTCTGGAACCTTCTCCCACGGACCAGAAGAGGCACCGGGGTGGCAGAGCTGAAACAGCCTGACCTGGGCCTCGGGTGAGAGGCATGTGGGGTTCTTGGCAGGGCCTCTCAACTTTGCTGTGTGTCTGAATTTACTTCAGCAGAAAAATGCCCTTCCCTCTCAGTACGTCAGCCACACTGCTGGGAACACTATCGGTCAGGACCCGTCCATCCTCTGCGCCCCGAGCCTAGCTTCTGCCGAGCCACTGGGCCCGTGGAGAAAGGAGGTGTAGGCACCGCAATGCCAGCACCCCCATCCCTGCCACCACTGGACCCCAGCTTTCCGGCCTGTGGCTAGCCTTCCCCTTTGGGGGGCCAATGACTCAGCTGCGGGCTCCATGAGGCAGGAAGTGGGCGCTGTGACTCACACAGTGGCTTTAAAGTCTCCCTTCTGGAGCTGGGAAGACAGATTGGGGATCCAGGCCGAGGCACCCCAAACACAGGGGCACTGTACCCCATGGTAACGACTCCAGAGTGGTGCTGCCCAGCCTGAGGAGTGGGAGCGCTCAGCCTGGCGGGGAGGCCAGACGGGCACAGGGCCAGCTCTGCCCACAGCCTGGGGCGTCTTCCAGCCCCTTGTGGGCCTGTGTCTGGTGCTGGGCACTCCTGCAAGACAAGTAACCGCTGCCAAGGTCTCCAGCCGGCTGACCACCCCACCATGTGCCTGGGCCACCAGGCCAGCGTGCAGCCGCGCACGGACGCCGTGATCCGCGTCAGGACACTTCCAGCTCGCGGAGGCTGAGGCTCCAGGGTCCTCCCCTTCCCGGGGCAGTTCTTCACTGGCCCAGAGGATCCAAGTGGGGGCTTCATGTGTCATCAGGGGCTCAAACCAAGAGACAAAGCAGTCAGTGAATGGATACTGCTTACATGGTCCTGAGGCAGCCTTCCTCCAGGTGTCCCTGGCCGCCCCAGCTGACCCCTGAACACAGAGAGCATGCCAACTAGGGGTGCTCACTGGAAAAGCAAGTCCCACTCACATTTAAGGGGTGTTATGGGCTTTGTTGTTGTTGTTATTTTTGTGTACTGTTACGTTGGAACCAACTCATGGAACCTGACCCTCCAGCAGGTTTTCAGAGGCAGTAAATTGTGCAGAGAGAGACTGCCCGTCCTTCTCCCGGGGAGCAGCTGGTGGACTTGAACTATGTGCCTTTGGGGTTGCAACACACGTTCTTAACACTAGGCCACCAGAGCTCCCTATGGCTTGAACTATGGATTAAATTCCTGTTCTATGTTATGGGTTGAATTTTCATTAATAATTGAAACTTGGAATACTTGAAGTATGACTCTAGGGAAACTGGAAGGTGTGACAACAGAGGATCAGTGAGAGGGCAGAAAACTCTCGACGAGATGGACTGACAGAGAATGCAGCAGCACGTTGGCGCGCAGAGATGGCAGGGATGGGGCGGGGGAGGACAAGCTTCCGTCCGTAGTTCAAGGAGTGGCTGTGTGTCGGAGTCAATGTCTCACAACCACAGTAAGGCTTGAATTGTGTTGCCAGAAATAACGTGCCAACTTGGTCAGGCCACGGTTCTCAATACTGCGTCCTTATCGTCTGCGCCATCATCTGACGTCACCCCTCTCTACGTCGTCAGTAGTCACCTCTATGGTGGTGACGAAGTCCTGGTGGTGGTACACTGTATGCTGGGCTGCTGGCTGGACATTGAGCCATCTGAACTCACCAGCGGCTCCACAGGAGAAACGTGAAGCTGGTTCCTGTTAGGACGGTTAGCCTTGGAAACCCAGCCGCCATGGATCAAGATCTACTGGATGGCAGTGAGCTAGTGGGCTGATGTCCATGTAAATAGAGAAGGACGCTGTCTAGAGAGTTAGATTGTGTCTTGATTCACTCACTCATGAGAGAGAAAAGAGTAGAAACCAGAAGGCCCGAGGACTCCCCAGACAGAAGGGCTGGGAATGGAGTACCTAACTCGGACCCAGGATCCTAAGTCAAGAACATCCTAACTCCAGGGAAAATTTGGTGCCAAAACATGAAACTCTCCAAGGGACAGCAGGACCACAGGTGACAAGGTGAATGGAGACAACGGCCTTCTCTAGAGCCAATGGAGAGAGAGCGTCCCCCAGGGCTGCTGCTCGGAGTCTGGGCTTCCAGCTTCCCAAACAGCAAGAGAAGGGAAGTGTTTGTTAAAGCCGCCGGCTGACGCTGATGTCTCTGTTAACAGTGTTAGTGCAGCCTTGAGAACCACCCACTGGGCGGCACTGGAGTGTGGTGAGGCAGCCAGGACTCCCGCTGCGTCGTGTGGCTTCCGTGGACCCCAAAAGCCCACACTTCACAGTCCGGTCAGCCTCAGCTTATGGGCAGTGGGTGCCCATGCTGCCTATCTCACCTGTCCCAGTGCCCACCAGCAACGAGGACAACGAGGGCTTCTCAGGGGAGCCCTGGAGGCCTCATGGTAGATCAGTCTATGTAGAACCCAGATGAAAGCAGGAGACTTGACATTTGACCGTGACTGCATAGCAATGACAGCTGTGACCAGAGTGAATCAGAAAGCTAGAAAGTAGAGGAAGCTCTAGTGGCCTAGTGGCAAAAAAGCTGTGCTGCAATCCTGAAGGTGCACGGTTCAGATCCTCTGTTGGAGAAGGAGGGGCAATCTCCTGTATAAGCTGGTTCTGATTTGACGCTACATAGCAAAAAAAAAAAGGAGGGGGAAGTTAGAAAGGAAACCAGCAGAGTGTCAGACCGCCTTACATTTCTACCGATACGGCAAGCAGAGCTTGCGAAAAACATTTTTGTTCTTACCATTAACTACAGGGGTATTTAAAAAAAAAAAAAGAAAGAAATCATTTCTGCTGAAACAAAGTGTGGACATTATCATTATTTCCCCATGATCTTACGTCACCACCCTCTACGTCGTCAGTAGTCACCTCTGGTTCTCAACACTTCTAACATCTTCTTCCTTTTTTTTAGTTGTGATTTGCATGAAAGCTTACTGAGAAAATTCATTTTTCATCTAGCCACACTGCATGTGTTGCTTGACAACATTAACTTCTGCCCCCACGGTGTAAGTGGGCTTTCCCCGTTTCCTCTCTACTGTCTGGTTTCCAGTCATCTTTCTCTGCCTCTCCGTGGCCTCCTTTCCTGTAGTGACATCAAGCAGCACTTCTTCTTGACATTGCTTTTCCCTTCACCCATCTTCATATGCAGCCATTATCTTTTTTACTCCACTTGCTCTCTCTTCCACGTTGCCTGTAAATTGTCCAAGAATGAGTCTATCAGGGTGTAAACCTTTCACAACGGTGGTCTTGAACCGTATTTGTCTTTTTGTGACTGACTGACGTCCTAGCTGTATGCAGCGTTTCACGAATCCGTGTTTGAGTGTTGTATAGTACTCCATTGTGTGAATATACCACAGTTTCTTTATCCATTGCTCTGTGGGTGGACACTTGTTTCCTTCTTTTTGCTATTGTGAATAGTGATACTTCACAGGAGAAGGATGGTCCATCTCCTCCCGTGTGATTAACTGCTTCTGAAAACCCACCAGAGGGTCATCTATGGGTCGGATCTGACTCTGCAGTACACAACAACAACAACAAGTAATGCTACAATCAATGCTGGGTTGAAACAAACTGTGTGTCGATTGTTTAATGGGAAACAAATTTGTCCTGTAGACTTTCACCTGAAACAATCAGTGTTGCATGGTTACTGGAGATAGGAGAGGGAGATGAGAGCCAAAATTAATAGATAAGTTGGGTGGGGGGAAAGGCGATGTGCAGTGAGCTGATCAGAGGTAACAATGAATTGATTATATTCATAAACTGTGATTAATGTTATTAAACAAAATGTGTACAAACGATTCAAGAAATAACCAAGAATTTGTAAACTTTCACTCAAATTCTTTAGAAAAATTACCCGGGAGAAAGGTTCCCCAATTCCCCTGTATGACTTCATCTCTTCAGATACTTATTCCTAATTTGTCCTTGGAGAAAGCATCAAGTTGGCACGGGGGCCAGACAAAGAAGAGGACCCAGTGCGAGGGGGTGGATTGGCTCGAGTACAGCAGAGACTGTGAGGTCAGCGAGGGGCCAAACAGATGGCGTGGGGCCAAGCAGAGTTGGACTCGGTTGTACCTGGGGCTGCTACAAGTCGGAGTCAATTCAATGGTGCCTGACAAGGACACTACTCTGTCAACAATTGGCACAATCTTCCTTGGCTGCAACCAGAACGCTGAGGGTTCAAGTCCACCAGAAGCACTAGGAAGAAATGACCCCCCAAACCTCAGTCTCTGACAACCTAACAAAGCACAGTCCTGCCGGGTCCCCGGGAGGTGAAGCTGACGCCTGGTTTGCCTTATCAGCAGCTTGTATGGAGAGACACTCCACAAACATAAGTTGGAAAAGGGCGTGAATAAATGCATTTCTCCAGTGATTCATTCTAGAATTCCACTGGTGATTAACACCTCCCTTGCTGGGTCCCAGCCTCCCAGGTCTGGTTCTTATCATACACTGCTTGCACAGTTTCTGGTTTCCCTGGAATGACAAGATGCCCCCTCTGAGTGGGTGCACAGAAACCCGACATGGATTTAGAGCTTAGAGCCCGCACCATGGTCTCCTTCTCTGATTTCAGTTACCTCGGGGCCCTGCTTCCTCTCTGAATGTGAAGATGGGTATCAGAGGAGGCTGTTTTGTCCTGATCATGGCCATCTGAGAGACCACCCTGCAGGAGGAACGCAACTGTTTTGGCTTCAGAGGGCTGAGGTCAAACTCGTGCTCTGAGAAGGGGGTCAGTAGAGAATTTAAACAAAACACCCAAAACTGACCACCGTCCCAGGCAGAGCTGATCCAGTTTCAGGGCTGTCATTCCCCTCCGTGCTCTGCAGTCAGGACGTTCTCCTCGCTGCCCCTCCAGCGCGTTTTAGGAGCCGATACATCACATGAGAGGATATCGCTCAACTTTCTCCTTCAGAGCCAGTGGGGGATTCAAACAGCCAGACAAGCTGCAGCCTTTGGATTGACAACACGACCCCCCTGCAGGCTTAGCCTCTCATGCCGCTGTAACAGGAAGTACAGGCAGACAGACCTAAAACCAACTTCATTCTCACAGTTTAGAAGGCTGTTGTTGTGTGCTGTTGAGTCAGAATTCACTCATAGCTGACCCCGCTGTGGACTTTCAGAGACTGGCAATCATGCGGGAAGAGATTGTTCCTCGTTCTCTGTGGAGCAGCTGGTGGATTCGAACCACCTGCCTTCGGGATGGCAGCGCAGCTCCTAAGGCACTGGGCCCCAGAGCTCCCTTTTAGGAAGCAGAAGTCCAAGTGCCAGTGCTAGCTCCAGAGGCCCCTCGAGGTCTGTGCTGATCTGAAGGAGGATCCTTGGTCCCTCTGTGGGCTCCACGTTCTCCGGACACCATCATGTGTGGGCCTTCACCAGCCTCCAGGTGCTGTGTCCACAGCAATGCGCTCCTCTCCTGGGGACCAGAGGGGCGGGCTCCCTGGGACTGCTCCCTTCCCTTTCCCTTTCCTCTACTGAGATAGAAGGTATTACAGGCCACACCCTAGGAGACACCCTTTACCTCAGATTAGGATTGAGATGGGATTAGGGAGTGCTGCATTCCACACTTAATCCTCCTACAACTATTTGGTTTCTTGGGATCCTAGGCGGTCATTGTATAGCTTCCAAATGATATCATTAAATGCATACATTTTGGGGGACACAAGTCAATCCCCAACAGAGGCTGCTGATCTTTACAGGAGGAAATGGTCCTTCTCGAACACATAACACACCAGGACACCTTTGTTGTTGTTGTCAGGTGTCATCAAATCGACTACAATTTGCAGTGAGTCTGAACAGATTGAAACCACC